TGTTAGAGGAAGGATAGTTGGTCAAGCAGATGGTGAGAAAACGTTGGCAGACAGTTTAGACAATACATTCAGTTTATTTCTTAGTGTGGTGTCAATATAGAACATATGACATTAAGATCAATAAATCTGGCCCGAGGATTTTCCCATGGATGTTGTAAAGTACTTTTAAATCTGTTTGATTTGAATTAGTAATTTTATTTTGTATTTATAGCAAAACTACTAAGGCTATCAGCCGCCGTCCCTCATTTTCAACTACTGACCAGAAAGAAGACAGCCAGTCAACAGCAATCTAATGTTCACCATCCACGCTAGGAATATGTTGTGGTAATGCATAGATTCGAATATTGTCAATAATTTTGCAGTAAGAAATTTTCTTTAAGACATTTGCATGTCGATATCATTTTCTTCTTTAATTTTAATTTATTAATAAGCCTTTATTTCTAATTTATTCCATGTTTTTCTCGTATTTTCATATATATAACAGGTCTTAATTCTATATTATTTCTATCTAAACTACTATAGTATCATTGTTTCAACAATACAGTTCACTCAGATGTATTTGTCATAAGACAATAGTATTGGGCTTAATATATTCTCAGGTCAACTGGGATACAACAAACGTAATAGGCCTAATGAACTCTGGCGTTGAGCGAAACGCGTCCTAGGCAATGGATAAGACAAACATTATGGTGGAAATGCTATTATGTAGTGTTTAGAAAAATTGTAAGCCCAATAATATAATAGGTTATGATCACGTTTCGCTTGCTAAGAAAAAAGCGTTCGTACCATAAAAATACAGTGTAATGTTTTATGCATGTTCATTACATTGTCGTTACATGTATTTGTGTATGCATTCGTTGTTCATTAAGTCTGAAAAGGGTTGAGAGCTAGCACCAGTAAACACCTAGATCCAATTTATCATCACAATTAAATATATATAGTTTTTAGTTTTGATACTTTTTGTATAGACGCAACACTGGGAGTGATGGGTAAAACTTGAATCTGGTATTCTAGATGCAATAATGGTCTCTTATCTGTGTAAATATAATACCATAAATCTGTGAGAATCGGGCTAATATATTCATGTGTACCAAAAGTAAATTACAAACCTTAATTCAAGTAATGTTGTATAGAATAATAACTGCTTCCTGATCGCCACGCTGTTAGAACCTACACTCAAAGTTTTACTATTAAATATCGTTCTTAAATGATCAAGCATGTAACTTAATAATAGTACGCATCCTGGAAGCTTTAAGTTAACTTGGTGCACGTGTATAACATTTGCCAAAGATGAACTGTAATCTGAATACAATTAATTACAATTCTAAAGGTTATTTTCACAACGACATCTATTTTAGCAAAAACAAGCAAAAACTATGCAATGTCAGTGTTGTAGCAGCCTCGCTTTGCGCATGTATTTAAACAGGAAGCAAGTCGTTTGTTGTACGCGTTGCTTATTATTCATTTTTGCATCATGTTGTTGGTCTCAAAAGCGCCGTACTACTGTAGACAATTTATTTTGACTTGTATCTTCAACCATATAAATTTCAACTTCCAAATAGCTATGTTTAGTTTGGATAACCAAAAAGTACATCAAGTTCGCCCGAAAAAGGAGGTATTAGCTAAATGTAAAAATTGTAACTGTGTGATCACAAAAATATTATTTAATGCTTGACATCGGTGTAGTCAGTATGATATTCCACCCATAGAGCCGGTATAGCTTATGTCATAAACAAATAATTTTCATGAAATATCATATAACTGACAAAATACCTGAAAATACATTATGTATTACACAGCACCATTCTTTCCCACTCTTCACCTAAATATGCTTAGTAAAACTTGGTGACGTACTTAAAGCAATAACCACAATAATAATTGTTTATCACTAACACTGGAAAAACAAACAAACAAACAAAAACTTCAAAGCTAACAGCTTGAGAAGTGGCGTTGCCGAGTTCAGTTGGTTAATATAGGCTTCAGATTTGCAATTATCAAACTCGAATTCTCAACTGCTCTTCATCCGCAGCTCCATAATTATCACAAAATTCTCATTTTTGATAAGAATATTACACTGTTGATAAATACGTAGTGCAGAGTTTGACGAAATTTTCAAATGTCAAAAATGTGTTCTTTTACACGAGTTGACAGCCACCTAGTGATATAACAGAAGAAGGACATGCAAATTGCAATTTTGAAATTTTGTAGCGAGATTAGGTTAGCCTAGAAGCAATTAAATTTAAAATTCAGCATAAATCTTTATATTAATATTATTATTTTAGGCCTAGATGAAACTGATAATTAGCGTTACTTTCAATATTTATGGTACAGCCTAGTATAAGTGCTGTAGTAGCTCTGTATAATCTTCATTGAACTAATACACTACATATACTTGTTCAACAACTTGAGTTTTAACATCACCTGAAATTATTCTGGTTTTTTAGAATAAAAAAAGCATATACTTTTAGGATGTTACCATTTTTGAGTATTTATCCCTGTAATCCCCTTTAAAACACCCAGTTTCAATATTTTTAAAATAAACTTGGCGGAATAATTTTGCGAGTGGATATTTTCTGTTAACGTAACGTAGCCAAACTTTTCTAACCTCTCCGTTAGGCCTATAGTTTACAAAAAAAAAAAAAAGAATAAATAAAAAAACTTAGCATTCGTCTCTCTAATCCTGTTTGTACACCCAAGGGTCCTACACCATATTTATTTATCTTGAAAGCTGAAAATTAAATTCAGAAATACATAAATTGAATGTTTGTGATCAAACAAATTATCCTGACATCAAGCTTCAATAATTTAGCATAATAACATAAAAAGACAATTCATGATAAATATATCAATACAGAATTAATTTCCTTTATCCTACTTGGATACACTCGCTGAATGCTGGATAACCAAAACACGTGTGTATGGTGTACAGCCTATTCAATCAATCATGGTGTCCTCATTTGTGAGGGTAGACGATTATGGTTCTCCATTGTTCTCTATTCCTCGCTGCCTGCACCAACTTTCCTAATTCAATCTTCTAATCTTTAATCCATTTTAAAAAATGTAATCGACCCAAGTGAGTCTACATACCTCACGTTCTTCTCCCTTCTATTTCACCCATCATAGTCTCTGCTAATCTTCCCTCAGATCTCATTATACACTCAAAGTAGTACAAATGCCGTTTCCTATACACGTCCAGTAGTTGTTGTTTAGTATTTGCACTTTCCAATATTTTTGTATTAATTTTTCTTTCTATGTAGGTTATCTTTATTGTTTGTCTCGCACATCATCATGCTTTCAAATGTTGTTTCTTTTCCATCAGAGATTGTACATGTTTCCACTCCCGTAGAGTAGGATGACCAAACGTAAAATTGTAGTAATCCCTTTTTCAATTCTTGCTTAACAACTCTCCTAACAATTATTTGGGATTCAAGAATGCTGTTTTAGCCATTCTTATCCTTCAGTTTGTATCTTTTCCATCACTACTGATATTCGTTTACTGCCTATTACCCCTGCGTTAAATACACCCAATCACCCTAGCCAGAGATTAATGGATGTCATACAAATAACACTTCATAATGGTGGTTACTGTCAGCCTTCTAAATATAGCTTTAAAAAACTAGAATATTGCAAGATAAAAATATTATAAGAGTCGCGAGTCTACTTTGCAAGTAACCTGATATAGTAATCGATACTTATATATATATATATATACTATTAAATATCGTTCTTAAATGATCAAGCATGTAACTTAATAATAGTACGCATCCTGGGAGCTTTAAGTATCGTGCAAGTAATCCGATACAGTAATAGCTTATTGTAATTGAGTAACAATTTCACTTTAAAGCATTACATATATATATATATATATATGTAATGAAATTCAAAACAGGCAAAATGTAAATAAAAAGCTTATAATATGCTTGTTTTCTATTCGTGCCGTAACCATTCATTTTCTAAAGTATTAGAGAAGCTTTCCTAATTTTCTGCCTCCCCCCCAGTGGCACAGCGGTATGTCTGCGGACTTACAACGCTAGAAACCGGGTTACGATACCCGTGGTAGGCAGAGCACAGATAGCCCATTGTGTAGCTTTGTGCATAACTACAAACAAACAAACGTAATATTCTTATTTTGGAATTTAACATGATTAATATTTACTGTTTAATGTTTTTCTTAATAAATTGTATTAAAAATATTACATTTTGTTCTTATAACTAAAACGTTTGCACTAGAAAGAAAACCCGTAGTTTTTTTAAAGCTTAGCAGTATATATTAATGAAATAATTATAATATGTACATCGTTGCTAGTAAATGAAAGTTGGTTTGTTCGTTGTTAAGCGCAAAGCTAGACAAGGGCTATCTATGCTGTGCCCACATTGGGGGGAGGGGGTCGAAACCCTAAATTTTGTGTGAAAACCTCTTAGACTGACTGCTTAGCTACTGCGAGCATTTCAATGGAGGAAGTCTGAAGACTTAGAAATAAAAATTTCGACGTTTATAAAATCATTTTGCATATCAACTAAACCAATACTTATTTTAATGTCTGAATCTAAAGAAAGAATTGGGTGTTATGAATTTGCACTATTTATAACGAACTGAGATACCCGTCCTTTGTACGGGTTATGAACCTACAAATATGTGTGGGTGGATACTGTGGTAAATGACAAAAAATCTTAACTTTCACAAAATATTATTTATAGCATAACATATTA